TCTCTCTCTCTCTCTCTCTCTCTCTCTCTCTCTCTCTATCTTATTCTCTTTACCATCGTTCGGCGCTTTAACGACTGGCAAAGCGCTAATTATGGCGCTTTTCATGCACTCTCGGCCCTCCTCGCGTCACGCTCCGCTTGCATTTCTCACAATACCATCTATTTTCGTCCGTTTCCCGCTGCCTTTTCGATTCGCCTTTACATCGCCTTATCAATTGCCGTTATTGCTGAATGTTTGCATTATCGTTACACCCATGGCGACGGCAATTATTCATCCCACCTCGTCGTTATGATACGACCTGACGTTTTGTCAGCTCGAAGTGCTAATGATTATCGCGTTGCGGTGGACCGTAATGATAATCTACTACACTAAACGCTCTCGCGATGTTGAATAACATCGTTTTCATGAGAAATATGACAAAGGGCACAATTATTATTGTGTCGAAAATTTTTAATACATCATACATAAAGGTGTGATTAATTTTTTATTGAATGGCGTTATACATAAGACAATAGATATGCGTTCGATGTCGTATAAATATTTCAGCCTCACAATGAATGTTTTTACCAATGCAAACTGTCTTTTAATAACGCCTTCGTTCGGTCTTATAATAAACTTTATAAGATATTTATATAATAAAATTATAATTGAGATACGATCGAATGAAAAAAGGTCTTGTCGAAACTTTTCAATTTCCCAAGAAAATAAATTGAAACTCTACACGTGTACTTTAATTAAAGCACAATTAATTAATTAAAGCCATATTAACTGTCTTTTAAGAGCTAAACATTATGATTTTCCTGGGATTTGTCTTTCTAAAGTATTGGTAATGTATTGCAGAGAATCTGAATAAGTAGGAAAGCCATGTTGTGTCGTAAATTTAGATTTTCTTTTCATGGATTAGATTGTTGGCTTTGTAAATTTGTATATATTCTAGTCACATTGAAATAAAGATTGACACAAACATTATAAACCATTTGCACTTTAGCATAAAATAAATAAAATCAAATATCCTCGGCTTTTTCTGTTAACTGGCGCATTTACCAAATTTTCACGCATTATAAATTTATTTATCTTAATCCATGTTAATGTCTTCCTATGGAATACATAATTTGAAAGGCTAAATCCTAAGTCAACAATGGCCAATATTTTCTAGCAGACGTTCGTCTTGAATAGGAACAAATTTGAGATAAATCACATTCAAAGTGCGCAATATAATATGAATTGAATATTTATTTAGACTTACATTTATGTGGTTTGGTCAGTAACAGCCTGACAAAACTCGGTTATTTAGATTTATTGTCGCCTCTTATATAACTAAAAGTTTTAGCCCTACTATTTTCAATTTTTTCCAATACTCACAAGAGCTCTGATAAATCTTACCTGAAATTTCGAATTTTTGTATTCCTAATAGGAAAAGTTTCAATCGCTTTAAGTTTTGCTGGATATTTTGCTATCACGTGGTCACACACTTTTAGCATCTGAACACTCCAAACCTTATTGATATCAATATAAATATAATCGTTAAATAGATTTATATATTTATAAATAATCTTACATCTTCTTTCTGTACGACGAACATTGATAAATTATTATAACAAACTGCACTGTCAATACGAATGTGCTTTGGTTGCTTTTACGATGAGAATCACATATGATTATTAACTATACATGTATATATATAACTATATATGTATCTGTATATGTATGTATATATGTAACTATATATATATATATTGTGTGTATTAGGTAATTACATGATGATTATTTTAACGAATTCATTATTTAAACAAATGCGAATAATTGGAAGGAGGAGAAAAGGATCATCGATAGACAAAAATTATATTTTTAAAATATTGATAATCTATATTGTGTATTATTTCTGTCCGTTTCTTTATTATTATACTTTAAGAAATTGTTAATATCGCTTTGATTAATCAAGTGGTTAATTATTTATTATTAAAAATTAAAGTGATATATCGTAATTCTTGATGATATTTTTGAAATATGAATTTTATCCTTAAAACTTAATAATACTTAATAATTATATTAGCATTTAATTATTATTTTAATAGTTGATTTATAATCAGTAATCCTGAATTTGTGATTAAATCTAATCTTTGTTAAAATGTAATTGATTTATTTATAATTATAATTAGTTATTGTAAATTTCAATAACGTAATATTTTTTATAAGTGCTTGAATTTATAGTTGCTATCGAACTTTTACATTTTGTTATTAAAATACTAAAAGTATTGAGTACGAAAAAGTAATGTCGTTATACTTTGATAGTGAAAATTACCAACGACATTATGTAAAATTATTTTATATCATTTTATTAGTAATATTTGATGACGTTTGCAACTTTATACGCGCACGCACTCGCGCACGCGTAACCATAAACTTGTATTAGTATTATGCACAAGTGTCATTATTAGGCTGGAATTCAAATAAGATTGTCGAATGCGATTGTAAAAATGTTTGCATCTAATTGAATTTTGCACGAGCGATATTGAAATAGGAAAAATACTCATGAGAACGGCACGTTGAGTTAACCCGTTAGAAATCAAAAATACATTTACGTTTGTCATTATCAGTAATGCCAGGCTATCGGTGTCCTCGTCACTTGCACTCGTTTATTTTTTCCTAAAGCATTCTCGATCCCGAGCTTCCTATTATTAAATATTCGACGCGATTGTTGGGTACCTTAACACAAGACCACCTCCCGCCCTCCCGCCCCTACCAACGCAATACGATCTGATTTTAAAACAAGAATGTCAATGTGAAAGAGCAGCAGCAAACGATCCATGCACAGGGAATTCCGCTGTTTCCCTCGAACTCATATACCAATTGGCCTTGGTTTCGTCGTTCAACAAGAGGCGCGCCGCCTTATCCTGTAAATCTATCGGCACTCGAATCCCTTTAAAATTCAAGTGCGCAATAGACCGGACATTGCAAATTAATTCAAACATTCGCGTTTTTTGGAAATTTCCTCGTGATTATTCTCAAGCGACCCTTCAAGCCAATAAACCCGCGCAAAAATACGACCATCGATCACACGTCGCAAGGATCGCGACAATAAAGGCATAATTGGATGGTCAAAGGATAAATCGAATGTAGAAACGACATCCCCTGGTTGCGCCACGATCGACGGGCTCAGCGCCCAAAGGGCTTCCGGTCGCGTTTCTCATCGCCCTTCTCGAGGATGAGGTTCGTATGTAGAGAGAGGCGCCCTGAATTTCGCCTCGGATATTTCGTCCAGCGAGCTGCTAGTGAAACGTGTCCTCGTAGGAGAGTTTTGTGCCCTAATCGCGAGTATGCCTTTCTATCGACTTTATATTGCCATTTATATTGAAACGGTTTCGCACGAGAGGACGGGAATTTTTTTTATTATTTTTTTTTTAGAAAAGTCGTCGACTTATTTCTACCCTCGACGCTTCCTTAGCGTATCACCACACTTTATTTATTTTTGCTTCTGCGTCTCGTTCGTCAGTGGGCCTTTTCCCTCCAGATAGTTCCTTATTTACTCTACTATTTACTCTACTTGGAAAATATTGCAGATAATATTGGTAGTTTGTTGCAAAGTTGCAAAATCAGTATTGAATTTCGATTCCGACTTTTGATGCGACAACTTGAATTAGGCACTAGAAACTTTAATACTTTGAGTTCCCTATTGTAAGCTGTAGTTTTTACTCTGATAATTTTTACGATGTAAACACAAGCGTAGACAACATTAGAAACTGCACTTTCATTTCTAATTACGTATATCGTGTAGTTATAATCAGCTATTTAATCGATGTCATTTGACGATCACGACACGTTGGTGACGGAAGTAAAAATGATTTTCTATTAATTTCGTGTTATAGAGAGCGAAGGACTATATATACGGAGGTAGGGAGTTGTCTCGTATTTTATTTTATTTTGCAATATTTATTGTGAAAGTCTGGGGGGGGGGATGGGGAGAGGGCACTAAAAACTCGCAACATTTGTATTTTCACAAAGCTGTGACTTAATGATCCAATGAAGCATTGGCTTTGGAATTGCTCGACCGGAGCTGTCTGCGCTTTTCTCATCCTTATTTTTCAACTATTTTACAACGACCGTTAATTATTTAATATACCCGCTGGTCCATGAATACATGTAATTCATACAAGATGTCGAATAATAAAAAAAAAGTTACAAAGCGCCGTGTGTGCACGACTGTCGAATGCGAGCACAAAAAAAAAAGACATAAGAGTGAGGAGGAGAAGAGCGATAGTGAGGGGGTGAAGGGGACCGTGGAAAGATATAAAAAAAAGATGATGTAGAATATTCTACTTTATTGGCGACTCTTTATCTTTCTTTTCCTCCCTTTATTGTGCCCTTCGTTCGTTTATAAGCAAAAGAAAGCACAACGATGTAAAGTTTACGTTACCGCGATTTCTAACGTCAGAGATGCTTTACTTCGTTCGTCACGTCCTTCTCATTGCTCTCTCTCCCTCTCTCTCTCTCTCTCTCTCTCTCTCTCTCTCTCTCTCTCTCTCTCTCTCTCTCTATCTACCTATCTATCTATCTGTATTTATCTATCTGTATTTATCAATCTGTATATTTATCTATCTTTTACTCGCAGTGTATGCTTATATGAATATGAGCTTGGGCTGGACAAAAGGAATGGGAGGCAAAGAAAAAATAGAAGATACGGAGTAAAATGTTTTCGTCAGGATTTTCAAATATACGTTTGTCCGGATGCTAAATACGTGGGAGGGGGCTTTTTATTAAAATGAATATCTG